TCAAGAGAGTAGAGGTGAGGAAGCTCAATTAGTTGCTAACATTGCACAGGATTGAGAGGAAGAAGTGAGACTGAGTTGAGCATTTCTGCACAAGGGAGCGGATTGAGAGAGGAGAGAGGTTGCTTAGTGATAGATTTAGATTATTTCATTATTTTTTTATATGAACAAATAAATAAATAAATATATACACATATCTCAAATTAATTTTAGTTTAATCTAATTAATATGTTTTTATATACATTTATATCATTTTCTTGCAAGATTTGTTGCTCTCACTCATCTTGAATTTTGTGTCATTACCTCGTACGCTGTCAAATTATTTTTCTCTCATGCAATAAATAAGCTAAACATAGTTGTCCTATTTTTTTGGTAATTTCAACGAAGAGGGATTCCTCTGAAGAACTTGCTCATACAGATCAACAGGCTTTGCTTGCCTGAGCCTACTATATAACCCACTTTCATGAGGCGAATTGATGATTCATCGTCAAATCGCCACTCATCGCTATCTCAATTTCTATAACATTTAAGCTTGCCCAGCTTAGGCATAGGGAAGTGCCTATTCAAATAATTCCTCACATCATTCAATTACTATTTTCTGGCCTAAAGCTCTCTCCATTCTCGCCACATTTCACTTTTCTTTCTTCTCAAAGGCTGGCCGAGGATCTCATACACAGTTGTGGCCACAACTTAACCTTGTACACGGCTCTTGCATACTCATAGAAACTTGCTAAATTTGTTGCTATCTCGCCCAAGACGCCATTAACTTCATTCTCTCTCAGCCCATTAGGAGATGACACGTTTTAAGATTCAGCTGTAAAGTTGTGTGTAATTTGTCTAGCTTGTAATTTTTACTTTTTTTGTCTACTTTTCTTTGACCCACAAAACTCTAATAAATAAGGATAATAAGAAAAATTGGGAAATCTTTGAAATTTTTTTGCTTTTATAATAATAATAGCTTTGCAGTTGAGTGTATAGGCTATTTTTCTTCTCTCTCTCTCTGTGTCTCTCTCCCCCTTTCTCTCTTTTTTTTTACTCCATTCTTTACTCTACATGTTACAACTTATTGGGTTGAATCTGCCAGTAAAGTCAGGGTTCATCGCACAGAACAAATTTAGATTCACATGGCATAATATATTTTGAATGGTTGATGTTTTAGTGACTTCGATTACAATTGGGGCATTTAGAACTCGATTTGCATGACTATGTTTGTAGTCTAACTGTTTCCTATCAATGTGGGGCCATTGGTGATATGAGAGGTTCTATTTGCGACATTTTCGATGTCCAAGAACTTTGGTGCATTCCCATTTTTGAAACTGAGTAACTGTTGAGTGATTTTGCGTAGTTGTTGTGGTTGTTGGCTCCATCTTTATTGTGTTTTGATCCAAATTTAGTGGCGAGATATCATTGCATGATAGATTTAATGCTTTGGATGCATTGGCATAGTCCATTTTATGTATTAGATGATGATTGGTGATTTCGATAATAATCGAGGAGTTCAATCAACTTTGTGTAATGTTGGCATCCGAATATCCGATGACGATTAGTAGCATCAATTTCAACTAGATATTATTTATATTGATTTGTGATGCATACTCATAGGCTCATAGGTCAATGCAACTTCTACCTACTTTACCTTAAGCCATTTTCATAGCTTAAATAAATAAATTGTTTTTGCTTATTCATGAATTATCTTTACTAGATTTAGTCAGCTTCTTCCGTAACATCATTTTACTACATATGCTCAATTCCCATGCCTTCTCTAACCTTTAATACTACCCCATTATTCTTTTAAATATTATGACTAGAAGTTTTATTCTCGGGTCATTTGAGATCCTCATACTTTTCAAGTCATATGATTAACATTCTGCTTCAGTACTTCTCTCAACCTTTTAAATCTTAGTAGAAATGCATCTAATTTAAGCTAACTTAACTATATTTGGATTAATCTATATTGTGTTTGATAATTTTCTTGATTTTGCTAACAAGAATATCCCCCTAAAAGCTCATTTAAATTGGTTTAAAATAAGGTCTTCATGTCTTCATTTTTAAACAACATCCATAGCTTTATTCTTTATATTTTACTTGATTCTTTGGTTACTATTATACAAAAAATTGTTTCATTTAAGTTTACAATTTTAGCTCTATTTTAATAGAGACTTCTTAAACTTGACAAAAATCAGTCGAGAACATTTGCTAAATGACATCGGGTCATTAAAAGTAGAATAATAACATAGTAATTTGCATTTCCACATCTTTTTAAAAAATAATTGGTATAAAATTTTTGTGAATTTCTTTTTTAAATACATCTTCAAACATCCATTTCACAATTGAATTCTGAGGACTTTTGTATGACCTACATTATTCAATTGATAATATCTGAAGCCCTCTTGAGAATTTCTAATAATAGATTTCTCAAGAAGTTTTTTATTTTTATATTTTATTTTCGGTAGCATCATTCATAATTATTGCCAGGTTTTATGTCCTAAATGAGAAAAGTGGAGGGTTGCGTTAGATAATCAACAGCCACCGTAAAACTTATCATCATGATGACATGATCCTTAATACATTATTTTATGCTAGGGGCATACTCTGGATGTGATACATGTTGTATGACATAAATATTAGCAAGAAGTGTGTATGGGCCGTTGCATCTGCGCTTGGCTGTAGTGTTTAAATAAGCAAGGGTTTCCACATCCTGGAGGATGTGGGCAAAGAAACTAATACGTAAACTAGAATGAATAGAAACTGGAAATATTGGTATCACTTATAAGCAAATATAGATTAATAGATTATGATCATCAGGAAAGATAAATATTTTTGCATTCAACGCAAAATTAGTTGGAGAAAGTCTTAAGAAGATTAATGTTTAGGATTTAAACTATGGTATTTGATATAATAAGAGTTTGAGATAATGTTGTAGAAATTAATTTTTATATAGATATATATTTATACTTTAAGATTGTTGTTGATAACCTAAGATTAATGTTATATTCTTATAGTATTATCTCCTTTCAGTAGGTTGAATAGAATGTTTTAAAATTAAAAATTTTGGGAATGACTTATAAATATATAGAAGATACCACGTGAAGATAAATTTTTAAGTAGAATTTTAAATGGAGATGTGTAGTAGATGTGTTAAAAGATTTTTAAATGCATTTATAGTGATTATGTGTTTGGAGTTTATTATGAAGGTGGTAGGACTTTCTTATTAAATTTTAGCTCTATGGCTATTTGATTATTTGTTTAATGTGCTAATTTAATTTATTTAAGGAAAAGTGAGGGACATCTCGATATTATGATTGATCTTTGTTGAACACTTAAGAGTATTATTTTCTATCGATAATAGATTTTGTTTTTATTGTAAAGTTAGTTAAAATGAAAGTTTATATTAGGGCCCAACTATTTTTTAATTAGTTTTTGGATCTTTTAGATGAGGGGCGGATAGTGAACAAAAAAGTAAGTATGCATTCATGATTAGATGGGCATTTAAAGAATGCTATAAAAAATATTTAGAGAGTAGAATTCAGATCTTACTATTTTTTATTGTGCATGAAGAAGCTAATATTATGTGATGAAAATGTCCATAATGATATTGAGAATGTTATAACAGTTTGTAGCTTGTTAGTATCAAAAGAAAATCCTAATAGTAAATCGTAGTTGATGGTGGAACCAAAATGTTAAAAAAGTATGTAAATTAATTCGAGGGTTTTGGTTTTAATTGCTTTTATTAGAATATGATAGTTCAATATAAGGTTGATGGATATTTTTGGAATAAGTTTAAAATTTTCAATGAAGCGAATTGTGGGAATAAGATTAGACTCTTAGTAGGCCTTAGTCACACGTTCATTAAAATAGTGATATTTTTTTTCTTAATCGTGTGTTTATAAAACCAAGTGACGAGACTAAATAAATAAGTGCCGGAGAAGTAGTTGGTCTTGATGATATTCAATAAGAGTTGTGAAAATGCTTAGGGATTAATGAATATTTTTACTTCTAGCATTTTTAATACTTGTTTTGAAGACGTAAAATGATGCTAGATGAGTGGATAAAGAGTGTGTTGGTTCCTATTTTTTAAGAATAATGTGATGTCATAAGAGTGGTGGCAATTATAGAGGAATTAAGTTAATGTGTCATTAGTTTAAAAACTAGGGAGAGAGTTATTGAGCGATAGGTTATGAGGTGATACTAATATTTCTCAAAATCAATTTGGGTTTTATGCAGGTAAGTCTGACCAATGGAAGCTATAACATTTATTAAGAGGTCAGGTGAAAAGTTAGTGAGAGTTAAGAGGAATCTACATCTGATTTTATTTGTATAGAGAAGCATATGATAAGGTTCAACAAGAGAAGTGCTCTAGCGGAGTTTCTAGAAAAACGTGGTTAATAATTTTTAGCTTATATTCAGGTCTTTAAGGATATACATGGCAAGGAGTATTACTTATTTCAAACACAATATTATACATATCGTTGTTAGTTGGAGGAGGTGGTTTGAAGTATTTTCCCTTAATGTTTGGATTTTATGCAGAATCAGCTTTATAATTATATCTTTTTGCATTTAGGTCGTGGATATTCTTACAAGACATTTTTTGCAGAATGTACACTGGTGTGACGTTTTTGCTGATTATACTTCTTGTTGATAAGGGTTATGGAAGGGGGAGGAAAAAAATTTTTTTTTGGGACAAAGCGGTTTTATTGAAGGAAGAATTATGTTTTGTGGAGTCAACATTAGAGTCAATGTTTTCATTGAGCGTAATCCTAAAAATCGCATACAGGGAGTGTGACTTTGGGCGATCAAGTCATTTAAAAAGTACAACGGTTTTAATAATCTTTTGTCTATTGTTGAAAGTGATTGACGAAATAACAGGGATATTATTAGTAGATTTCAGTTGGGATGGTTGAG